TTGGAACTTGTGCCACAAATACCATCTGCCTGTGACAAAGAACTGGTGGGATCACAAGCTGGAAAAAGTTACAGAGAATGAACACGCCAAACTCCTCTGGGACTTCCAGATTCAGACAGACAGAGTTTTGGAGCATAATACTCCTGACCTCACAATCGTGTTAAAAAACAAAGTATGGATTGATGTTGCAATCCCAGACGACAGCAGGATTGAAGAGAAACAACTGGAAAAGCTGACACAATATGAGGATTTAAAGATCGAACTGCAAAGACTCTGGCACAAGCCAGTCAAGGTGGTCCCAGTGGTGATCGGCACACTGGGTGCAGTGCCTAAAGACCTTGGCCTGCACTTAAACACAATTGGTGCTGACAAAATTACCATCTGTCAGCTGCAAAAGGCCACCCTACTGGGATCCGCACGCATTATTCGCAGATACATCACACAGTCCTAGACACTTGGGAAGTGTCTGACGTGTGATCCAATACTACAGCCAGGAGAGTGTCTGCTGTGGACTCATCTTGTTGTGTTTCAAATAATAATAATAATAATAATAATAATAATAATAATAATAATAGGTGCTGGTCATTGACCATTGTATATGTGTGTGTTTCTTTTCTAGTGATTGCATACAATACAATACAATATAATATAATGAATGGACATATTAAACATGAAATCCCCATGTTGGAATTCTCTTTCCTTCCAAGAAATTTCTGAAGGGTTCCCAATCTTTCTTGAATATGAAAGGGTCTTTCATCTGAAGATATCTTGTCAAAATGTCAATTCCTGGTATTTCAGCTACTTTTACGACCCATTCTTTCATTTTTGGAACTTCTCATTTTTTCCCCTTTCACACACACAAACATAAATGCACGCTGTTATATAAGTAAATGTAACATGGTCACAGTCACCATTACAAATATGTTTCCCATACATTCGCATAACATTCTGATTATTCCTGTTTTCCTCTCCTTTAGATTTCTATACTTATGTGCTACTTATGGCTATCCAATTCCCATCTATCTATCTATCTATCTATCTATCTATCTATCTATCTCTATCTATCTCTATCTATCTCTATCTATCTCTATCTCTCTCTATCTCTCTCTCTCTCTCTCTCTCTATCTATCTATCTACCATATTTGTATCCTGCCTTTCTCACCCTGGAGGGGACTCAAGGCGGCCTCACAGCAACCAGCAATTTGATGCCATACATGCATGTATCAATTAAACGATTACACTGGGTTGCTATGAGTTTTCTGGGCTGTCTGGCCATGTTCCAGAAGCATTCTCCCCTGACGTTTCGCCTGCATCTATGGCAGGCATCCTCAGAGGTGGTGAGGTCTGTTGGGAAATAGGCAAATGAGGTTTATATATCTGTGGAACAATGTCCAGGTTGAGAGAAAGAACTCTTGTCTGTGAATGTTGCAGTTAATCAACCTGATTAGCATTGAAAAAACTTGCTCTTCCTGCCTGGGGGAATCCTTTGTTGGGAACAGTTAGATGCCCCTGATTGTTTCCTGTCTGGAATTCCCCTATTTTTTTGTGTGTTGCTCTTTGTTTACTGTCCTGATTCTGGTGTTTTTTAATTCAACGGCCAACATTGAATACTGGTATAGTTGGGGGCCCGTTTTTGAATTCTGGGAGTTGTAGTTCACCGACACAGGGAATCCGGGGAGAGTGCGGATGAACTCCCTCTAACAGCTCCAGCTCTTCATGCAGGGACATGAGAGAAGCCTTCCACAAGGATGGTAAAAATATCAAAACATCTGGGTGTCTCCTGGGCAACGTCCTTGCAGACGGCCAATTCTCTCACACCAGAAGCAACTTGAAGTTTCTCAAAACTTAAAAAAAAACCAAAGTGAAAGAGAAGGGCAGGTGGAGAGATCTCCAGTCTTCTCTGCCAAAATGTTTCCTAAGACCATCGGAAATATGTTTTCCGATGGTCTTTGGCAACCCCTCTGAACTCCTTCCTCCACAAGGGTCCCAACCTCCAAGTTGGGAAACACTGGTCTAGATGTTTCTGCTTTTTTAATATTGTGTATCCCATTAACTTCACTCAATAAATATTATCTTAAAAAAGGAAGAGGTCAGAGCGGACCTGGTGACACTGCTGTGACTCACCTGCGTGTGACTCTGCCTCCCAAGGCACCGAGTTCGCCTTCTCTCTTGCCAATTGGCAGCACACCAGGAGCCAGCACTCCTTGTAGCAGCCAGTTCTGTCATGTCCTTGGCATATTTCTAGGTCTACACCAGGCATGGGCCAACTTGGGCCCTCCAGGTGTTTTGGACTTCAACTCCCACAATTCCTACCAGCCTACCGGCTGTTAGGAATGGTGGGAGTTGAAGTCCAAAACACCTGGAGGGCCCAAGTTGGCCCATGCCTGGTGTAGAGAATGTCCTCCTATTTCCACACTGGAAAAGCTGACATCTCCCGTACAAGAGAATAGAAATGACTGGACAGGACTAAGCTTCTTTCACCACAATTCTCTTTTATTACATCATGCGTTTTGGATTTACATTCAATTGCCGCTAGGTAACAAAGGCCAAGGAGGCAGGCGGGAGGGAGGGGGGTCATCTAGACTGTCCCAGGCAGCTTTCTTCCTTTTCCTCCTTCCTTTTTTCTCACCCTCCTTTTGTCTCCTTCTCTTTCCCTTCTTCCTTCCTTTTCTTTCCCTCCTTCTTTTCCCTTCTCCCTCATTTCTTTCCCCTTCTTACTTTCCTCACTTACCTTCCTTCCTCCTTTCCCCTTCTTACTTTCCTGCCTTCCTTCTTTTCCCTTTCTTTTCTTCGATCGTTCCTTTTACTCTTTCTTTTCCTCTCCTTCCTTCCATTTCTTTCCCTTCCCTCCCTTTCATTTTTCCTCCCTCCCTCCTTTCCATCCTCCTTACTTTCCTGCCTCCTTTCTTCCTCTTTCTTCTTTTCCCCCTTTTTCCTCTTCTTTTCCTTCTCCTTCCTTCCTTCCTTTCCTTTTCTTTCCTTCTTCCTTTTTTCTCCTTTTCTCTCCCTCTTTCCTTTTTCTCTCCCTCTTTTCCTTTTTTCTTTCCTCCTTTTTTCACTCCATCCTTTCCCTCGTTCCTTCCTTTCCTTCTTCCCTCCTTTCTTTCCCTTTTTTTTCCGTTTCCTTTCTTTCCCTCCTTCCTTCTCCTTTTTTCTTCTCTCCTTTCATTCCTCCTCTTCCCCTTTTTCTTACTTTCCTGCCTTCCTTCTTTCTTTAGTTCCTCCCTTTTTCAATTTCTTTCCCTCATTCCTTCCTTTCGCTTTATTTTCCTCTCCTTCCTTTTCTTCTTCTTCTTCCCTCCTTTTCCGTTTTCTTTCTTTCCCTCCCTCTTTTTCCTTTTTTCTTCCCTCCTTTCCCTCTCTCTTTCCTTCCTCCTCTTCCCTTTTCTTACTTTCCTGTCTTCCTTCTTTAGTTCCTCCCTTTTTCACTCCTTTCTTTCCCTCGTTCCTTCCTTTCCCTCTTTTTCCTCTCTCCTTCCTTTCCCCTCCCTCCTTTCCCTCCTCTTCTTCCCCTTTTTCTTACTTTCCTGCCTTCCTTCTTTTTTTAGTTCCTCTTTTTCAGTTTCCTTTATTTCTCCTTTTCCTCCCTCTTTTTCCTTCCCTCCTTTCCTTCCTCTTCCCCTTTTCTTACTTTCATGCCTTCCTTTAGTTCCTACCTTTTTCACTCCTTTATTTCCCTCATTCCTTCCTTTTGCTTTCTTTTTCTCTCTCCTCCCTTCCTATCCCTCCCTTTTTCCTTCCTCCTTTCCCTCCCTTTCCTTCCTCCTCTTCCCCCTTTTCGTACTTTCCTGCCTTCTTTCTTTCCCTCTCCTTCCTTCCCCCTTTCCTTTCTTCTTCCCTCCTTTCTTTTCCTCTTTTTCCGCTTCCTTTATTTCCCTCTTTCCTTCCTTCTTTCCCTGCCTCTTTTTTTCCTCCCTCCTTTCCCCCCTCTTCTTCCCCTTTTTCTTACTTTCCTGCCTTCCTTCTTTCTTTAGTTCCTCCCTTTTTCGCTCCTTTCTTTCCCCCGTTCCTTCCTTTCACTCTCTATTTCCTCTCTTTCTTCCCCTTTTCTTTCTTCCCCTCCTTCTCCCTTCCTTTCTTCCCTTCTTTCTCCTGCCTTCCTTTTTTTTCCTTTTCCTTTCCCTTTCTCTTCCTTCCTTTTCCTCCCTCTTTTCCTTCCCTCCTTTCCTTCTCTTCCCTTTTCCTCTTCCCTTCTTTTTCCTTCTCCTCCCTTTTTCTCTTCCTTCCTTCCTTCTTTTTCTCTTCCTCCCCCTTCCTCCCTTTTCCTTCCTCCTTCCCTTCCCCTTTCCTTCCTCCTCTTCCCCTTTTCTTACTTTCCTGCTCTGCTTCTTTAGTTCCTCCCTTTTTCACTCCTTTCTTTCCCTCATTCCTTCCTTTCTTTCTTTCTCTCCTTCCTTCCTTTTCCTCTTTCCTTCTTCCTTTTTCTTTTCCTTCCCTTTCTCTTCCTTCCTTCTTCCTTTTCTTCCTTCTCTCCTTTCTTCCTTCCTTCCTTCTTCTTTTTTATTTCCTTTTTTCACTCCTTTCTTTCCCTCATTCCTTCCTTTCACTTTTTTCTTCTCTCTCCTCCTTCTTCTCTTCCTTCCTTACTTCCTTCCCTTTTGTCTTTCCTTTCTTCTTTCATTTATCCTTCCCTTCTTCCCTACCTTTATTGCTTTCTTCTTTTTTTCCTTTCTTTCCCTCCTTCCTTCTCCTTTTTTCTTCTCTCCTTTCATTCCTCCTCTTCCCCTTTTTCTTACTTTCCTGCCTTCCTTCTTTCTTTAGTTCCTCCCTTTTTCACTCCTTTCTTTCCCTCGTTCCTTCCTTCCTTTCTCTCCCTTCCGGGCCCTGAGGCTTTGAGGGCGCGACAAGGACGCCTTGTGTCTCCCACAGCCGCGGTGTGCCTGCGTGTGCGCAGGCGCAGTAGGCGGAGGCGGCGGGGGCGTGGCCTGCGGAAGGAGAATGAATGGAGGGGGCGTGGCAATGAGAGGGGGCGGGGCTTTCTCTCCCTCATCAGCCTGCTTGTAGGCCCCGCCCACCTCTGCCAGGTCTATAAATAGAGGCCGGAGAGAGACGTCGGGAGACGCACGAGGCGGGGATTGAGACAGAAGAGAGCGGGAGAGAAAGAGAGAAGAGAAGGAGGAGGAGAAGAAGACGACAAGGAGAAGAGGAGAGAAAGGCCTCCGCTGTTTCTTACTCTATCGCAGGCTGGCGGTGAGAGAAAGCGACGGAGAGCGGGAAAGGACAAAAATTAAAAAAAAGGGGCGAAGGCGGGAAGGGCGGTTGGAGGGTGGGGGAGGGGAAGGGAGGGTACGGAGGCCGAAGAGGGACCTGAGGCGGGAAAGGCCCCGCGCGGTCGCCATTTTGGCCCTCCGACCACGTGGTCCTCCCCAGAAAGTGGGCGGGGCCTCGCTTTCTCTTGTTCTAGAACAGGCCTGAGCCAGTTTGGGCCTTCCCTCCATTGGACTCCAAATCCCACAATTCCTACCAGCCTCAGGTCCTTTCCTTTTCCCCTTCAGTCGCTTCCCTCCAGGTGTTTTGGACTCCAACTCCCACAATTCCTAACAGCCTACCGGCTCTTAGGAATTGTGGGAGTTGAAGTCCAAAACGTCTGGAGGGAGGGCCGAAGTTTGCCCAGGCTTGGTGTAAGGCATGGGTAAACTTGGGCCCTCCAGGTGATTTGGACTCCAACTCCCACAATTCCTAACAGCCTCAGGCCCTTTCCTTTACCCCTCAGCTTCTTAAGTGTTTTGGACTCCAACTCCCACAATTCCTAACAGCCTCAGGCCCTTTCCTTTCCCCCCTCAGTGTTTTGAACTCCAACTCCCACAATTCCTGACAGCCTCGGACCGTTTCCTTTTCCCCTTCAGTCTCTCCCCTGCAGGCGTTTTGGACTCCAACTCCCACAGTTCTTAACAGCCTCAGGCCCTTTTCTTATCCCCCTCTGCTGCTTCCCTCCAGGTGTTTTGGACTCCAACTCCCACAATTCTTAACAACCTCAGGCCCTTTCCTTTTTCCTCCTCAGCCACTTCCCTCCAAGTGTTTTGAACTCCAACTCCCACAATTCCTAACAACCTCAGGCCCTTTCCTTTTTCCTCCTCAACCGCTTCCCTCCAAGTGTTTTGAACTCCAACTCCCACAATTCCTAACAACCTCAGGCCCTTTCCTTTTTCCTCCTCAGCCGTAAGCAGCTAAGGGGAAAAGGAAGGGGCCTGAGGCTGTTAGGAATTGTGGGAGTTGGAGTCCAAAACATCTGAAGGGAAGGCCCAAATTGGCCCAGGCCAGTCCGGAAGTGGACGGGGCCTCACCTTTCCTTGTTCTAGAGGGAACACTCTATTCATTCTTTAGAGGCGGGCTCTTGACTCCACATCCGGTTTGTTTTTTCCCTCTCATAGGATGCTTGACCCTCTTTCTTCACCTTCCTTTGCGTTGCCATGGAGCCCTTCACTGCCTTTCTGAGCCTAGACCCCAACCCCAAGGCCTTGAGGGTAAAGACTGTTCAAGGAGAAGAACCAGAGCAAGGCCTCATCTTGCTTGTATAGCGACACGCTCCCTGCCTTAGAGCAGAGCCTTGCGTTGACGTATTTATTTATTTGCTGGCCTACCTCATATCAGTCTTGGTTTGCATATCAGTAAGAGAAAGAAAGAGAACATGGAGGCCTTTACAGTGATGGCGACAGTGTGGCCCGTGGGTCCCGTGGGGCCGATGACGGCTTTCCTGTGGCTGCTGGTGCTGGGCTTCATCATCGCCTTTGTGCTGGCCTTCTCGGTGGGCGCCAATGATGTGGCCAACTCCTTCGGCACGGCTGTGGGCTCCGGAGTCGTGACCCTGCGGCAGGCCTGCATCCTGGCCTCCATCTTCGAGACCGTGGGCTCCGTCCTGCTAGGCGCCAAGGTCAGCGAGACCATCCGCAAGGGCCTCATCGATGTGGAGATGTACAACACCACCCAGGAGCTGCTCATGGCCGGATCCGTCAGCGCCATGTTCGGTCAGTGTGGGCACCCCAAAGACTCACCACCTTATCACATTGAGATATTTCCCCCTTGTTTTGACACTTCAGCCTCTATTCAAATATGCAGAGGCACGGAACAACTTCTGACCATACATAGTCCTCCATGATTGAAAAGAGGCTGAAGTGTCATGAAAGGAGGGAACTCTGGCAATTGACGTCATAATAATAATAATAACATTATTATTATTATTATTATTATTTATTTGTACCCTGCTAGCATCTCCCGGAGGACTCAATGCGGCTTACAAAGGCCAAGGCCTCAATAAAACAACAATATAACAAATACACATAAACCATAAAGCAAATCAAAACATTAAAGCAATAACAGTAAACAGTAAAAACAGTACACCATAGCACAATAAAACTAAGGCCGGGCCAAGTGTTACGGGTACAGATTAAAAAGTGCTGAGTATGCTAAATGAAATATAAGATGTTTAGGTAAGTGCAGTGTGCGGACAATCTTAAAACCTCTAATAAAGTGTTTCTGGGACGTGTTGCTGGAGTTTCCTATTCTGGAAAGGCACATCGGAATAGCCATGTCTTCAAGCTCTTCCTAAAGACTGCCAGCGTAGGGGCTTGTCTGATGTCCTTGGGAAGGGAGTTCCAGAGTCGGGACTTTGTCAAAGGCTTTCATGGCTGGAATTACTAGGTTGTAGGTTTTTCGGGTTATATGGCCATGTTCTAGAGGTGTTCTCTCCTGACGTTTCGCCTGCATCTATGGCAAGCATTCTCAGGGGGTGCTTGCCATAGATGTAGGTGAAACGTTAGGAGAGAATGCTTCTAGAACACTGGTTTTCAACCTGGGGTCCCCAGATGTTTTTGCCTTCAACTCCCAGAAGTCCTAACAGCTGGTAAACTGGCTGGGATTTCTGGGAGTTGTAGGCCAAAAACATCTGGGGACCCCAGGTTGAGAACCACTGCTCTAGAACATGGCCATATAGCCTGAAAAAAACCTACAACAAACCAATCATAACTATTTTTATACCCCGCCAACCATTTCCCCTAGGGGACTCGGGGCGGCTTACAAGGGACAAGCCCAAAAATTACAATCAAAACACAGAAATAAAACACTTACCAATTAAAAACATCAGATAAAAGCAATATAACACAAGTATAAACAACGTAAGAGCAATATGGCTGAGAAAAAAGAACATAGGTGAGCTACAGTTCAATGAATGCAATACATTTTACAGGAGTGCAAGGAAAGTGCAACAAACTAGTAGATTGGGCGGGAAATACTGTTGTTTTTTTTTGTCGTGTCAGTGACTTGAGAAACCGCAAGTTGCTTCTGGTGTGAGAATTGGCCGTCTGCAAGGACGTTGCCCAGGGGACTTCCAGATGATTTGATGTTTTTATCATCCTTGTGGGAGGCTTCTCTCATGCCCCTGCATGAGGAGCTGGAGTTGATAGAGGGAGCTCACCCGCCTCTACCCGGATTTGAACCTGCGACCTGTCCCACCAGCACAGGGAAATACTGTCATAAAACATGTTGAGGTAGACCATTTGAGGGCCATAGTAAAGGGACAGGGAAACTTCTGGTGAGCTGCTTATTGAGACATTCCCTCCTGGTAGGACACTTTAGCCTCTATTCAAATATGGGGAGGCACAGAGTTCATGAAAGTGTCATGAAAAGAAGGGACTCAGGCAATCAACCTCATCACATTGAGACATTCCCTCCTGGTAGGACATTTCAGTCTCTTTTCAAACATGGAGTGACACAGAGCCCATCACATGAGTTAAACGACTTCTGGCCATTATGCATAGCCCTCTGTGGTTGAAAAGAGGCAGAAGTGTGCTGAAAGGAGGGAACTCTGGCAATCTGATTGCATCACATTGAGAAATTTCTCCCTGGAAGGACACTTCAGCCTCTATTTAAATATGGAGAGGCACAGAGCTCATCACACGAGTTAAACTACTTCTGGCCATCATGCATAGCCCTCCTTGGTTGAAAAGAGGCAAAAGTGTGGTGGGAGGAGGGAACTCCAGCAATCAGCCCCATCACATTGAGACATTTCCTCCTAGGAGGGCACTTCCACCTCTTTCCAAGCATGGAGAGGTACAGAGCTCATGTTTTGGAATTGGAAAGAGGCAGAAGTGTCCTGAAAGGAGAGAATTATGGCAATCGACTGCCATCACATTGAGACAATTCCCCCTGGTAGGACACTTCCGCCTCTTTCCAAGCAGGGAGAGGCACGGAGCTCATCACATGAGTTAAAGGACATTCATATGGAGGAGGGAGCAAGCTTGTTTTCTGCTGCTTTGGAGACTAGGATGTGGAACAATGGCTTCAGACTACAAGAAAGGAGATTCCATCTGAACATTAGGAAGGACTTCCTGACTGTGAGAGCTGTTCAGCAGTGGAACTCTCTGCCCCAGAGTGTGGTGGAGGCTCCTCCTTTGGAAGCTTTTAAACAGAGGCTGGATGGCTATCTGTTGGGGGTGCTTTGAATGCAGTTTTCCTGCTTCTCCGCAGGGGGTTGGACTGGATGGCCCATGAGGTCTCTTCCAACTCTATGGTTCTATGACCATCACGTGTAGCCCTCCAAGGTTAGAAAGAGACCGAAGTGTCCTAAAAAGAGGGAACTCTGGCAATCAACCTCATCACATTGAGACATTTCCTTGTTGTAGGACACTTCAGCCTCTTTCCAAGTATAGAGAGGCAGAGAGCTCATCACATGAGCTTATTGTTATTGTTTAATATTTTGTTTATGAGATTTATTTTAACTGTTTTGTACTGATTATTTTGTTATTGCCTTTGTTTATTGATGTACTGTGGGCTTGGCCTCATGTAAGCCGCACCCTTGGGGAGATGGTAGCGGGGTATAAATAAAGTATTATTATTATATATTATGTGACTTCCGGCCATCATGCATAGCCCTCCATGGTTGAAAAGAGACAAGTGTGAAAGGAGGGGACTTGGGCAATTGACCTCATCATGTTGAGACATTTCCCAGTCTTAGGACACTTCAGTCTCTTTTCTAGCATGGAGACGCATGGAGCTCATTGTGTGAGTTAAAGTATTTCCACCTGTCATGCACAGTCCTCCGAGGTTGGAAAAAAAGCAGAAGTGTGCTGAAAGGAGGGAACTCCAGCAATCTGAATGCATCACATTGAGAAATTTCCTCCTGGTAGGACACTTTGGCCCCCTTGTGGCACAACAGGTTAAATCACTGAGCTGCTGAAAGTCCGGTGGTTCAAATCTGGGGAGCGGGGTGAACTCCTGCTGTTAGGCCCAGCTTACAGACACTTTGGATGGCATAAGGAAGGGTTAATGCCATTATGGTGTTTCTTTTGCTGCCTGTGCCCTTGTTCAGGAGATTTCACCTCACTTTCTGTGTGAGAATTTGATTTTGCAAAATGTGGCTTGTTGTGGAAACAAGGATTGGAGAGATAGTTTCACTTGAGCCCCCTTTTCCCTATGATAATAATAATTCCAGGAGTGGACTTTCTATCCTTACAAGAGGGAGATTTCTCTCACTTCCTGTTCTCTTCACCCTTGTTCTTAACTAGGAGACATTATGTAAGTCGGATATTTGTAACTCATTGACAGTCTGTATTTGGTGGTGAATGTAATGCGCACAAAAGTCGGTCATTTCACGTGCAGTTGATACATGCTGACTATTTAGGTTATCCCTCGTAGCCTGAGGATGATGGGCCTCTAAGTGTAGTGTTTTGGTGGTGAATACATAGGTGGTAGTGGAGCCCTATTGATCTGCATGTTCTGCCGCAGTGAGGACATCAGGTGGTCCCAGTCAGGGCTGGCTTGATGCGCCTTCCTCTTGGCACATCTCTCCCTTTCACCCTCCATTCATGCCTCTATGAAATCTGCAGCACTGCTGGTCACAGCTGACCTCCAGTTAGAGCGCCCAAGGGCCAGGGCTTTCCAGTTCTCCATGTCTATGCTACCGTTTTTAAGCCTGGCTTTAAGCCCATCTTTCAATCTCTTCCTGTCCACCAACATTACATTTCCTGTTCTTGAGAATTGCTGAGAGTTAGTTCTTTAAAAACAAAAGTGTTAAGAGCACCAAAGCTTCTGTCTGTGGAAATGACAATTTTGGGGTGCATCTATTCTGTAGAATGAATTCACTTTATTGCCTTGGTTCAGTAATATGGATTCATGGGGTATGTAGCTTTAAAAGGGCTTCAGCCTTGAGTTGTTGTAGGTTTTTTCCGGGCTATATGGCCATGTTCTAGAGGCATTCTCTCCTGACGTTTCGCCTGCATCTATGGCAAGCATCCTCAGAGGTAGTGAGGTCTGTTGGAACTAGGAAAATGGGTTTATATATCTGTGGAATGACCAGGGTGGGACAAAGAACTCTTGTCTGCTGGAATTAGGTGTGAATGTTTCAATGACGACCTTGATTAGCATTTGATGGCCTGGCAGTGCCTGGAGCCAATCTTTTGTTTAGAGGTGATTAGATGTCCTTGTTTGTTTCCTCTCTGTTGTTTTGCTTTTGTAATTTTAGAGTTTTTTTTTAATACTGGTAGCCAGATTTTGTTTATTTTCATGGTTTCCTCCTTTCTGTTGAAATTGTCCATATGCTTGTGGATTTCAATGGCTTCAGCCTTCTCTGCTAAAGAATGCAGATGTCTCACAAACTACAAACCCCAGGATCCCATAGCATTGAGCTAAGGGCATTACATTAGCGTCAAGGTCCTTCAAAGAGGAGCTCCTGAACCAGCTCCCCCTTTGGCTTTGGCTCAGTACTCAGGTGACCATGTGACAAGAATCTAATGCCCACCCTAACTTTGGAGAGGTCTTTTAGCCCAAAAAAGGTGAGCATTAAACTCAAGTAAATAAGGTATAGACTGGATGCTCTCTGACCTATTTCTGGCTTCCTCTTTCAGGTTCAGCCGTGTGGCAGCTGGTGGCCTCCTTCCTCAAGCTTCCCATTTCTGGAACCCACTGCATAGTCGGGGCAACAATCGGCTTCTCACTGGTGGCCAAAGGGCAGGAAGGAGTCAAGTGGTCTGAGTTGCTGAAAGTCGGTAAGGAAGACTCCTGCACCATCTTTTTGGGGGCTGCTGCCATCGCTTTCCTCTGAAGCGGATAGAGTGTGATTTGTCCATGGACCCCCAGGCTGTTTGGTGGGACCTGGATTTGAACCCCAGCCTCTCAGCCCAAGGCACTGCACCACAAGCATCCTTGGTAGAAAACATGGTTTTCTCTCTTGACTCACAGGGAATCTGCTTTGAGAGCAAACATACTGATACCAACAGTAACCCAAGCAGAGATTAAACATTCTTTCTTCTTTTCCCTAGTGTTATCCTGGTTCATATCTCCGTTGCTGTCTGGTATTATGTCTGCTGTCTTGTTCTTCCTCGTCCGCAAGTTCATTCTTTCCAAGGTACGCATTCCATCTTGCAAGTGAGATTGTGTGTGTGTGTATGAATGAATGAATGTGTGCATATCTGCTGGGATTTGCTTCCAGGGCAGTGCTTCTCAACCTATGGGTCCCCAGATGTGTTGGCCTTCAACTCCCAGAAATCCTAAGAGCTGGTAAACTGGGATTTCTGGGAGTTGTAGGCCAAAACACCTGGGGACCCACAGGTTGAGAACCACTGTTCCAGGGCGTTCAAGGAGGCCCAAACCCCAATCTATAGAATGGCAGTGTGAAATGGAAAAATTCAAGGCCTGCTGTGTGGATTCATTTTTTTGGGTGGGAAGGTTTTCAATCTGTGGCTAGTTGAATCTCTGAATTTGGAGGGCCCTCAGTAGTTCTCAGGGAGATTTCCAAATGGAGATTCTGCAAAAGTTATTGCAATGTTTGTGGGATGCCTTGAAGCAGGTAATATTTCGGTTTGCTTTTTGATTTGTATGTTGTTAAAAAAACCTTTGGAGAGGTCTTAGGGGGCGTGGCAATAAGAGGAGGGGCGTGGCTTTCTCTTCCTCACCAGCCTGCTTGTAGGCCCCGTCCACCTCATGTTAATTTCACATTGCGTTGAATCGTCTTGATGTTGAGCAAAAGAAGTTGAATTGACACTTGTGGGGAAACTCAGTGTTTCGACCAAAGCAGTTTCAACACACGATGACTTATTTGGTAATCATTGTGTAGTTTCCTTCTATTTGTTTCTGCCCTTTGTTGCAGTCTTAGCCAATCTGTAAGTACGTATGCAAACAACGCAATTTCTGGTAATACTTTGTGAGCAACTATTATTGGAAATTCCATAACCTATTGGAAATAACTGCACCACAACCTTATTGAAAAGGTAAAAATGATGTCACATCTGTTTGGCAAATATGAATCTCCATGAACATGTGGAGACCACCTTTTGAAAGCCACTAGTCAACAAGAGCATGACTTCCTTAAAAATCAGCCCTTTGAACAAGCGATATTCATAAGCATTCATGTAATGGCACATAGGTATCTCAGCTGTTAAACTGAATAACCAATGTCTTTAAACTGCCAAGGTTAAAGACATGCCACTACAAAAATTTATTGGGTTAGCAGAGGGCGGTTGTTTCTTTGCAGTTGTAATTGCCAAAAAGATACACACTCACTTGAAACCTCTTAGTTTAAAATATGCACTCTATGCACTCAGAGATACTGACAGACCAGCAGTTTGCATCCGGGGTGAGCGGGTTGAGCTCCTGTCATCTCCAACTCTCCATGCGGGGACATGAGAGAAGCCTCCCACAAGGATGGTAAAACATCCAAGACATCCGGGCTTCCCCTGGGCAATGTCCTTGCAGACAGCCAATTCTCTCACACCAGAAGCGACTTGCAGTTTCTCAAGTTGCTCCTGACATGAAAAAAGTCATACTTCTCTACTAAAGTCCAAACAGTGACCTGCTTCATTGAAGACCAAACACATACATACATCCACCTCCACTGAGGTCTGATGCAAACACATCCACATCCAATGAATACAAAAATGGAGTCCTGAGTCTGAACATGCTCAGTACAATCACATGTCTATAACTTCTCCCACACCAAAGAGGTCAGTCAAACTGGCAAATCAACATACACATAGAATACAGGTTAACAAATATATACATTAACAAATGAATAATGAAAGGCTTGGGAGGTTACTGTTTCCGATCTGTAACTGTTGGCCAATTTGTAACCACATATGCAAACCATGTTATTTCTGGTAATACTTTGTAAACAACTATGGCTTTGTTGTTTTGGTTTTTGTGTGTGGTTTATTTTATTTATCATATCGGAAGCAAACCAAGGGTATAGTTGTAAGGTATTTAAAACAGTTAAAAACATGACGTTATACTAAATGTTCTTTGACCAGTAACTGGCCACTTGGAGTGCCTCTGGTGTTGCTGTGAGAAGGTCCTCCATTGTGCAAGTGGCAGGGCTCAAACTGCATTGTAATACGTGATCTGGGGTTTGTGTCACGTTGCCAGGGCTCTACCTTATTTAGGTAGAGATTAGCCAAACTCCCAGTTTTATCAAACAGTTTAATTGAAACAGCCCTTACTTGCTGGCTGTTTTAATAGACCAAAACATAAAACATAAAGATAGCACCCAACCACAGAATAAACAAAAACTGATAGCAAAAACAACTCCGTAGTCAGAAGGGTCCAGTCCCGTGGTCAGATATTTATTATGTATTATTATTTATTTACAGCATTTATATTCTGCTCTTCTCACCCCGCAGGGGACTCAGGGCGGATTACAGTGTACACATATATGGCAAACATTCAATGCCAATTTTGACATACAACATATACAGACATGCCGAGAGTTCAATAAACAAAGTCCAGGGATCAAAAGTCTATACCGTAGTCAAAAGCCAGTCCAAAGGTTCAAGGTTCCAAGATTACAGGAGACGGGTCAGGATACCAAAAAATCCAACAGACCTGGGGGGAAAACCAGCAGCATCCACCACCAAAATACAACAGATACTTTTCTCCCAAAGATCAGTCTCAAGGTTAGCTCCTGAAATCCAGTAACTTCCAGCTGCAACCCATCTCCTGCACACCTCCACCCCTAATTGCTTTCACCCATGAACTCCCACTTACAGATTACCAAACCCTCTAGAACTAATACTCACATTAACCCTTCCATAACCAACCACCATCAACTGCAGAACATATGACAGTTTGCTCTTCACACTTGTATGTCGTGGAGTCCACTTTGTGGCCCCATTTCTTAAGGTTGGCTCTGCATCTCGTGGTGCTAGAGTGCAGTCTGTTTGGCACCTTCCAAGTTGCCCAGTCTTCTGTGTGCCCGGGGGGAGTCTCTCATTCGATATCAATCATGGCTTGAGGTTCTGGGTTTTAGCCTGCTACTTTTGGACTCTTGCTTGCTGAGGTGTTCCTATGAGTATCTCTGTAGATCTTAGAAAACCATTTCTTGATTTGTGTGTGTGTGTGGTAAAAATACCATTCTGTTGGTTCCTGCCTTTTCAGGTGGACCCTGTGCCCAATGGGCTGCGCGCGCTGCCTGTCTTCTATGCCTGCACCATCGGGATCAACCTCTTTTCTATCATGTTCAGTGGGGCGCCTTGTAAGTAGCTGCACAGACACACTTTGATTTCTATGGCTCTTTGTCCACTTCTCACTCAAACACGGAGTTTTACCCCTTTTGCTTTACAGGACTGAATCCTCCTAGAAGGCGGCTGGCCTGGGCCCGTTGCAGAAGGCAGCAGGCCAGCATGCGCTGAGTGCCCCCTAGGTAGCTCCCTCCCTGCCTCCCTCCTTCCCCGGAGGCTGTGCCCCTCTCCCTAAATGACCAGAGACCTTTCTCCTTCGCCTCCACAGGAACCTTAGCAGGCGGAGCGCCCAGCAGCCCCCTCCCCTGGTTGCGCTGCCTCTCAGCCACAGGCCTGGATCCCCCCCCCCTCCCCTCCTCTTCCCCTTTCTCTCCCGGATCCAACACTAACATCCAGAGCCCTCCTGGCTGCCGCACCACCCTCCTGTGTCTCCTCTGGTGCTGTTGTTGTTAAACTCAGGCCAATGGCAGGAGAGGAATCCAGTGGCGGCAGCCACCTGGCGGTGGGTTTCTCCCTCCGGCTGCCAGCATCTTGGTTGCATTTGATTCCAAGGGAGGTCTCCTCTGCCATCCCCTCCCTGCAAGAAGAGCTGGCAACCGTGCTCTGAAGAGGAGGAGGAGCCGCCTGGAAATGTTAAAGTGAATGTTAAACTGTGTTTGTTGCTAACTGGGGAGGGAGAGGGAGAGGGGATGGAATCAGAAGATGGCTTCCGCTGCTATACAATTCAAGACCAGACCAGAAATAGGACATAGTCTAGGACAAGGACCTCTCAATTGCATGGAGCGTAATGAGGGAATCAAGCGTGTGCATTTGTGTCTGCTCTTGAGCTAGAGCACAGCCATTCACATTGCAGCTGCTTCACTATAATTAGAAGCATAATTAATGATGACAATTCTGTCACTGCAAACATCTTGCCCTGGACCTGTGCCTGCCCTTGGCAAGACTGGTTTATTTTTATGGGCCAGAAAACCCACGCTGTTCAGTTCCTGTGGAAGCTGAGGTACTGGGCCCTAGCACCCTTTGCTACTTAGAAGCAGTGGTCAGCTTGGGTTGTTGTGAGTTTTCTGGGCTGTATGGCTATGTGCCAGAAGCATTCTCTCCTGATAGTTTCTTGTCTGGAAGTCCCCTGTTTTCCAAGTGTTGTTCTTTCTTTGCTGTTCTGATTTTTTAAAATACTGGTAGCCAGATTTTCTTCTTTTTCATTGTTTCCTTTTTTCTATTGAAATTGTCCACGTGCTTCTTGTGGATTTCAGTGACTTCTCTATATGGTCTGGCATGGTGGTTGACAGAGTGGTCCAGCATTTCTGTGTTCTCAAATAATTTGCTGTGTCCAGGTTGGTTCATCAGGTGCTCTGCTATGTCTGACTTCTCAGGTTGAGTTAGTCTGCAGTACCTTTGATTCATGCCTGGGCAATTCTGCTGCATTTGGTGGTTCCTGTGTAGACTTGTCCTCCTGCAGAGGCGACAGGATCCCTCTTGTCTTTTGCTGAGCAGAGCATTTGTTGGATTTTCTTAGTGGGCCTGGAGATAGTTTGTAGGTTGTGTTTCTTCATTATACCATAGATGCAGGCAAAATGTCAGGAAATAATGCTTCTGTAACATGGTCGGACAGCCCAAAAAAACTCACAACAACCCAGTGAAAGCCTTCGACAATAAAATAGTCAGCTTGGATCTGATTTAACAGTAAATGGAAACTAAATTGCTTTCAGTCTCCCTGAGAAAGAAAGATGGTCTCAGTGGTAGTGGGAATATTGTTTTTTGGGAAAGTATTTTGGGAAGGATGGCGGTGGATGTTTGCCTGAGAGGTTGCCCACCCAGCTTTTTTGGCTGGATTCAGGTACAACAGGAATACCTCCAGCATCAGAAACACCGCCTTTAGCAGTCATGTGCATAAAGGAATCTCCTTAGAAATGTGTCTCCTATTTCTACTGAAGTTAATGCAGGATGAATGTAGTTCTTTTGGCAGAGAGTTGTGATGGAGGGCCAGGGCACCCAGGGCTGAGGCTTGGGAAATGCTGCCCTGTGAAGAACCCCTTCAAGGCCATGCACTACCCTTTAATAACTGGACCTTGCCTTGGATGGGGGCTTCCTTTCTTCCTTCCAGGCACCAAGCCCAAGTTTCTGGGTGCTCAGTGAAGCTGTGGCCCTTTCCGGGGGAACTCTCAGTGTCTTGCAGGGGCCTCGCCTGAGTGGGGGGGTTTCAAGGTGCGTTGTTTTGTCTCCTAGTGCTGGGCTTTGACAAGCTCCCCCTCTGGGGCATCGTCCTCATTTCGGCGGGGAGCGCGGTTGTCTGTGCTCTCGTCGTCTGGTTCTTTGTCTGTCCGAGAATGAAGAAGAAAATTGAAAGTAAGTACTACACTTTCTCCTTCCCTTGGCATTATTATTCCTCTGAGCAACTGTGTGTTGTGAGTGTCTTGCCCTTGAGAGCCTTGACCGGCAGGCTGTTCCTGAGCTCATTAGTTCCTCTGAGGCGGCAAGCGCACCCTGCTGCTGCCGTCATCGCTGCCTCCTTTGTAGGTTTAGTTAGCTTAAAGAGTCTTGGCCAGGGCCCCATGTTGTTGGCGTGACTGCCAAGGCCTGGTGACTTGATGCAGGAGGGAGCGAGGAGAGCCTTTTGGAAGCCCTGCCAGCCTGGCCTCAGCTGCCCTTGCAGTCCCAGGGAGCCCATACAGAAGGGCACCATGGGGCTACCAGGCTCTAGAGCCCTGGATGGCCAAGCCAGGCTAGGCCCTGCTCCTGGGGTAGGCCGCTGTAGGATTGAGGCAGATGGGCTATCCATCTGGGAAACCTCCGCTTTTAGGCTAATATACAGTTTCCTAAGTTGCATTGTGCCTTTCACCTGAGACCTTTCAGCCAGTGACACTGGCTGAAAGAATACAGAAGAAAAGTGGGGTTTAAAAATGTTTATTGTCAAAGGTAGGTTGGGTAAAGAGAAACTAAAAGAGGCATTGGGACCTTTGGGGTTTTGTTTGGATGAGCACTAGTCATGGGCCTGGTATTTGTCTCTTTGTTTCTTTCATGCTTCTGTTCCATACTGTTCATTTGAATGGCACAAAATGGTACACCCTCCTCCTGTATAGAAATATCAGTGAAACGAAAAGTAACTGGGAACGGTAACTATTTGGTTCACTGATTTTCGGAGTTCGGCTGTAGGCCCTACCAGCTGTACCGAGCACCTGGCAGGGCCTACAGCTGAGTTCTGAGCGCCTGGCAGGGCCTACAGCTGAGCGCTGAGCGCCTGGCAGGGCCTACAGCTGAGCGCCAACCACCCGGCAGAGCCTACAACCGAGTGCCTCTTGCTGAGGGCTTGGCTGTAGGTCCTGGCAGACGCTGGTGCTTTGCCACCAATGGACTGAAAATAATTTGGTTTTTTGAACCTTGGACATAATAGCTCATTTGGAAAGGCGCCTGTTTTCTGGAGATGTGCTCAAAATCGAAAACAGGGCCTTACAAATAAAACAAACCAGAACGGATAGTAATTCTGTACAAATACACAAGACTAGTAAGACTCCTTGGCCCTCTCTCAGGAGCACCTCCCGCTCCTCCTTTTATCTTGTGGCAAGATGTGCTCTGCTGTGGGGAAGGACCTGATTGCAACATCTCCCTGCCCATTCTGAGAAGAGATGCTACTACTTTGTGATTCTGCCATTCTCCATGTTACTGCTCTGTGAGAAGCGCTTTCTTCCGCTGGTGGCTTATGGGGGCTTTCCTGCCTTTCTGCAGAAGAGATCAAGTCCAGTCCTTCTGAGAGCCCTTTGATGAGGAAGAAGAGCAGCCTGAAAGAGCTGGAGGAACTGAAGCCAGCTGCGAATAGTAGGATTGAGGAGGAGGAGCAGATCCCGGAGGCTGAAGTGCCGGTGGTGTTGCATAGAGCAGTCGCGGCTGAGGAGAGAGTGGTCTCCTTCAACCTGGGAGACACAGAGGATATTCCGGAGCGGGAGAGGATGAAGGAGACCGGCTTCGAAGGCAGTGAGTGGAGGAGGAAGAAGAGGAGGAGGTGGTGGAGGTGGAGGAGGAGGAGGAGGAGGGGTGGTGGTGGTGGTTGTGGAGGAGGGGTGGTGGTGGTGGTTGTGGAGGAGGTGGTAGTGGTTGTGGAGGAGGAGGAATTGTGGGGTGGGAAGTGGGTGGTCCCTTGTGTAGTGTGTGCGTGTGTGGCTGGCTCTGAGCTCCCTGCTGAGTCCCTCTGGTCCTTGTGTCCCTAGGATCCGTGCAGTTCCCCAATGGGCACCTGGCCCAGTTCAACCATGGGGTTAGCAGCCAGGTGACCCCGGCTGCTGGGCATTACCACACGGTCCACAAGGATTCCGGCCTCTACAAGGAGCTGCTCCACAAGCTACACCTGGCCAAGGTGGGCGACTGCATGGGGGACTCTGGGGACAAGCCCCTGCGACGCAACAACAGTTACACCTCCTACACCATGGCCATCTGCGGGATGCCCCTCGACGCCTTCCGCCCCAAGGAGCCCGAGCCCAAGGCTGGCGGGGAGGAGGCCGAGAAGCTGGACTCCAAGAAGCGCATCCGTATGGACAGTTACACCAGCTACTGCAACGCCGTGGCCGAGACCCACCCGGAGGCAGCGGCAGTGGGGGACCCCCTGCGGGCAGCGGAGATGGGGGCTGCGGACAGGAGGGGCAGCGGGGGCTCCCTGGATGAGTGGCACGACCAGGACAAGCCCGAGGTGTCGCTGCTGTTCCAGTTCCTGCAGATCCTGACTGCCTGCTTTGGATCCTTTGCTCATGGAGGCAACGACGTCAGGTCAGTGGCTGAGCTCTGAAGGAACCTCAGTTGGGCTGTGGGGAGTAGGATTGCCTTTGGCTCTTCTGCCGTTGCTGTTTCCCTCCTCCGTTTGATGTTGCTCTTTCTTCCTTCCTGGCAGTAACGCGATTGGCCCTCTGGTTGCCTTGTACCTGGTTTACCAGACAGGTGACGTGTCCTCGAAGGCAGCCATCCCCATCTGGCTCCTGCTTTACGGAGGGGTCGGCATCTGCACTGGCCTCTGGATCTGGGGCAGAAGGGTCATCCAGACCATGGGGAAGGACCTGACTCCTATCACGCCCTCAAGGTAAGGAGGAAGGGTCCCTTTTGTATCCAGCACTACAGATTCCATGCCTCAGCCCCTTTCTCCTGAGATAGTTCCCCCTTTTTGTTGAATGTCCCCTCACGCAGACCTGGCCCAAAACCCCCTACCCCCCCCCCCCCCCCCCCCCCCCGTGCCTTCAGATTTGAGTACTCGTTTCTGTTCTCAGACCTTCCAGAAATGTTTGTAGCTTTCAAGCCTTGAGCTGCACCGGTGATCAATGCAGGCAGTCATTTTGAGGACCTGTTAGCTGGAAGACCCCTCTTATAATGTTCTTGTATTGTGGTATACTTGCATATGTATCCTGGAATATCTGAAATTCATTGAAGTTTTGTATATGGCTAAAGGTCATTTTTTGCAGCGTATTTTTAATAATCTATATAAATAAAAATGTAATGTTTGTTTGTGGGATTAACATAACTCAAAAACCACTGGGCGAATTGACACCAAATTTTGGACGCAAGACACCTATCAGTCCAACAAGTGACCATCACTCATAAAAACACTGAAAAATACAGCAGAAGGGACTTCAAAGCCAAAAAACAAAAATTACACTACAACGCATGCGCAAAACAACATATATACACAAACACACATATATACACATATACACACACAAAACACACAGGGGAACAAAGGAGAAAGAAAGAGGGAAAGAAGGGGGGGGGAGAAAAGGAAAGAAAGAAAGGTAGAGAAGGAAGGAGAGAAGGAAATAAAGTGAAAGAGGGAAGGAAGGAGAGAAGAAACGAAAGAGAAAGAGGGAAGGAAGGAAAGAGACAAGTAAGGAATGCAACCAAAGAGCAAAGAAAGTGAGAAAAGAAACAGGTAGAAAGAAGAAGGGGAAGGAAGGAGAGAAGGAACAAAAGAGGGAAAGAAGGAAGACGGAGGGAGGGAAGAGACAAGGAAGGATGGAACCAAAGAGCAAAGAAAGCGAGAAAAGAAACAGGTAGAGAGAGAAAGAAGAAGGAAAAGAAAAAGAGGGAAGGAAGGAGAGAAAGAAAGGAAGCAGGAGAGAAAGAGGGAGGGAAGGTTTGTCATAGCAACGCGTGGGTACAGCTAGTTCTGTACATAAAACATTGAGGGGGAGGGGCCCTTGTGGCACAGTGGGTTAAACCGCTGAGCTTCTGAACTTAAAGACTGAAAGGTTGATGTTTCAAATCTGGGGAGCAGGGTGAGCTCCCACAGTTATCCCCAGTTTACTGTATTTACTTTCTCAGCCAATCGGCGACTCAAGGCGGTTTCCAACAAATCAGTATACATAAAACATAATATAGATAAAAACATTAAACAGTATAAGACATCACAAAAGCAGTAACAGTAAACCAGCGTCTCATTCTCAAGCATTGTCCAGGTCCATTGTCAGGTCATTTGATTTCCTATATTAGCTACTCTGTATTTGTAAACGCTTGCTCGAATAGCCACGATTTTACTTGCCTCCCAAACGGAGGGAGCAGATCTGATCTCCCTAGGGAGGGTGTTCCATAACCGAGGGGCCACCACTGAGAAGGCCCTGTCTCTCGTCCCCGTCAAACATGCTTGTGACAAAGGCGGGACCGAGAGCAGGGCCTCCTCAGATGATCTTAAAGTTCTCCGTGGTTCATAAAGGATGCTCCGTGGTTTGTAAGGCATGCTGGGCCCATAACCTATGTGAAACCATGGTTAGGGTTTTTGTGTGTGTGTGTGTGTCAGGAGCGACTTGAGAAACTGCAAGTCGCTTCTGGTGTGAGATAATTGGCCGTCTGCAAGGATGTTGCCCAGGGGATGTTGCCCGGATGTTTTGATGGAGTTACAATAATAGGAAAATTACCAAATTGAAATCATATCTTATGCTTTTAAAAATTTTATTTGATGTGTGTTGGAAGAGGGTAGTCTTATACGGCGAGTATATCCCAAACTCTATATTTTAACTGGAAAAGTTGGGGGTCGTCTTATATGCCCAGTCGTCTTAGATGCCGGAATATACGGTACATATCCTGTTAAGGTTATAATAGCCATTTCTTATTCTGCGTGTCCCTGAATTCAAGTCCTGATGAAAGAAAAAGGACTCTTTTTTTTAAATAATAAATTATTATTTGATATATATATATATATATATATATGTATATAAAAAAAAAAAGAAAAGAAAAAGAGAGAAATATGATTTCCAGGTAAAGTGGGGGAACATAGTATTTTGAAGAAAAGTAGGAAAACAAAGAAATAGAGGTAAAGAGAGGTAGAACAGCCATTTCTTATTCTGTGTGTCCCTGAACTTAAGTCCTGATGAAAGAAAAAAGACTCTTGAGTCAACTGTGCTTTAAAGCAGACACTGAAAGTAGTTCAGTTACTTAAGGAAGAAGGGAAACGTAAACAGTTCACCTACTTCCCTTACGAAGTTCCACAATGCCCTTGAGTGGTGCAGTGAGACGAACAGTGGCGCACAGAGGATCAACTGGCCCACAAACGGGAAGCAGTGTGTGGGGTGGGCGGGGGGGGGGGGCAACCTGCAGTTGGTATTGAGGCAGAGTTTTAAACAAAACAACACAATAGCCCACTTGTACACAGAAAGAAAAATAAAACAGTTCAGCCAATAATGTGACTGGTGAAACTTATTATACAGTTCCAAATCATAGCATTCACAAAACAATATTATATGCGTTTGGTACAGTCACTCAAAAAAGTATCAACGTTGTATGTTCTTGCGTTGAGTTGAACTTAAATCCATAGTCCATGACCAGTTTCGGCCTCACTCCAGGCCTTCCTCTGGTGGACTAAAATCTATATAAATAAAAATGTAATGTTCGTTTGTGGGATTAACATAACTCCAAAACCACTGGACGAATTGACACCAGATTTGGACACAAGACACCTTTCAGGCCAACGAGTGACCATCACTCATAAAAACACTGAAAAACACAGCAGAAGGGACTTTATAAAGCCAAAAAAATACATTACAATGCACACGCAAAACCACACACATATATATACACAAACACACACATATATACACACATATATGCATACACACACAAAAGACATACACAGAAAGGAGGAAGGAAGGAAGGAAACAAAGAAAGAATGAGGGAGAGAAAGAAGTAAAGAAAGAAGGGTAGAGAAGGAAGGAAGGAGGGAGAGAAGAAGGAGCGAAGGAGAGAAAGAAGGAAAGAAAGAGAGGAAGGAGGGAGGGAAGAGAGAGGGAGGAGAAGAGAAAAAGGGAGAAGAAGAAGAGAAGGAGAGAAAGGAAGGAGAGAAGGAAAAAGAAGGGAGAGAGAAGGAAGGATAGACGGAGGGAAGGAGAAAGAAGGAAAGAAAGAAGGTAGGAAGAAGGAGAGGGAAGGAAAGAGAGAAAGAGGGAAGAGAAGGAAGGAAAGAGAGAAGGATGGAACCAAAGAGCAAAGGAAGCGAGAAAGAAAAAGTAGAGAAGGAAGAAAGAGAGGAAAGAAAAAGGAAGGAGGAAAGAAGGAGGAAGGAAGGAGAGAAAGAAAGAAGGAGAGAAAGAGGGAGGGAAGGTTGGCCACAGCAACACGTGGTGGGTACAGCTGGATTATATTCAGTTATTATATATATATATATATATATATACACACACACACACACACACACACACACACACACACACACACACACACTGCAAATAACTTCATAGAGCATTCATAGAGTTTTAAACAACACCTGAACAACCCCTCCTTCTTCCTCATCCACAGTGGCTTCAGCATTGAACTGGCATCTGCTTTGACGGTGGTCATTGCCTCCAACATTGGCTTACCTATCAGCACCACTCATTGCAAGGTAAGTGAGAGGTCAGGGTGTGTGTACTTGTAAGGGTCTCGAGGCACCTCTAGCCAAGGGGTCCTTGCTCAAAGTGGAGGGCACTACTGGAGCCTCCCGGCCTTGGCTGTCCTCTGGGGGCTTCCGGGGTGGAGATTGGGGTCCTCTGCCCAGCGTGGCTCAGGCTCGGTTCTGTCCCTGCTGCAGGTGGGCTCCGTTGTCTCGGTGGGCTGGCTGCGGTCCAAGAAGGCTGTGGACTGGCGCCTCTTCCGCAACATCTTCATGGCCTGGTTCGTCACGGTCCCCATCTCAGGCCTCATCAGCGCAGCCATCATGGCGCTGTTCAAGTACGCCATCCTAGGAGTGTAAGGCCTTTCACCCAAAGGCTGCATCAGTGTTAGGGCGACTGATGAGCGAGCGAGTGAGCAGCAGGAGGGTGGGCGCCTTTTTCTTTGTGCTGTTCCTGCTTCTGTGCGCAGTCTCTTTCTCTCAGGGAGGAGCCCCTCCTCTCCTCCTCTGGGCTGTGAATTATATCTTGTCTCGACATTTCTATACTGTTTTTGTACTGAGCTTTAACTTCATCATTCATGTTGTCGAACGTATCATTTGTGTTCTCTGATCTGAAATTCAAGAGCTGGCAAGCACAATGCGGAGGGAGCAATCTGGCCGGAAAGTCTGTGTTGAGGGACTACTTTTATAAAATAAACCTTTTTAAATAAGGATCTGGTGGTCTGGTGTTTCCTGATGTTCCCTAGGTCACCGCGGAGGGTGTCGGGGCCATTGCAGAGCAAAACATTTGCGTTGCTGTAGCTTTCCCCAACTTGGGGGTCAGGACCCCTGGGGGGGTCATGGGGGGTGTCGAAGGGGTCACCAAAGATCATCAGAAGACACAGTATTTTCTCTTGGTCATGGGGGTTCTGTGTGGGAAGTTTGGCCCAATTCCATCATTGTTTGGGTTCAGAATGCTCTTTGATTGTAAGTGAACTATAAATCCCTGCAACTAGAACTCCCAAATGTCAAGGTCTATTTTTCGCAAACCCTTCCAGTGTTCACATTTGGGCATATTGAGTAGTTGAGCCAAGTTTGTTCCAGGTCCACAGTGCTCTCTGGATGTAGGTGAACTATAACTCCAGAATTCAAGGTCAATGCCCACCAACCCCTTCTAGTGTTTTCTGTTGGTCATGGGAATTCTGTGTGCCAAGTTTGGTTCAATTCCATCATTAGTGGAGTTCAGAATGCTCTTTGGTTGTAGATTAACTATAAATTCCAGGAACTACAACTCCCAAATGACAAAAGTCACACCTCCCCCCAACCCCACCAGTATTCAGATTTGGGTGTATCGGGTATTTGTGCCAAATTTGAGTCCAGTGAATGAAAGTTTGGCCCAATTCCATCATAGCTGGGGTTCAGAATGCTCTTTGATTGTAGGTGAACTATAATTCCCTGTAACTAGAACTCCCAAATGTCAAGGTCTATTTTCCGCAAACTCTACCAGTGTTCACATTTGGGCGTATTGAGTAGTTGAGCCAAGTTTGGTCCAGATCTATCATTGTTTGAGTCCACTGTGTGAACTACAACTCCCAAAACCAAGGTCAATGCCCACCAGACCCTCCCAGTATTTTCTCTTGGTCATGGATTTCTGTGTGCCAAGTTTGGTTCAATTCCATCGTTGGCGGAGTTCAGAATGCTCTTTGATTGTAGGTGAACCGTAAATCCCAGAAACTACAACTCCCAAATGACAAAATCAGTTCCCCCTCCAACCCCACCAGTATTCAAATTGGGGTGTATTGGGTATTTGTGTCAAATTTGGTCCAGTGAATGAAAAGACATCTTGCATATCGGATATTGACATGACGATTCATAACAGTAGCAAAATGACAGTTATGAAGTAGCAACGAAAATAATGTTATGGTTGGGGGT